TGATTATCAGATACAAAATTATATCCGGAAAAAATCCAAAGAGCAGAGACCACGGGTGAAGCCAGTTCATTTTTAGTATGCAGGAAAAAAATTCTAACAGAAAAACATTCATTCGAGCAGAAGACACAAAGCCAGATCATCTCTTTATAAAAATATCGCTTCTCAGACACAAAGTTTGGAGCGGGACGTTTCACAAGAATGACATCCACGGCGCCAATTTATAATTGTAACAAATAGTATTTGAATAAAAGCATTTAATCGGGTAAAACCCGGGCGTTGCCCGGGTCATTCGGATAGTAGTGTTATAATAATGATGAAACAATGACATTGGGAACACATTACATGCTTTATTATGTTACAGCATCAAACCCCAGTCTTCAATCCACACCCCGGCACTCTTGGTGTGAGGATTCTATTCAACAATGGTAGAACAATGGGAACACACCACATGATATCTTAAAGCACAGCTATAGTGTTATAATAATGATGAAACAATGACATTGGGAACACATTACATGTTTCTTATGTTACAGCATCAAACCCCAGTCTTCAATCCTCACCCCGGCTCTCTTGGTGTGAGGATTCTATTCAACAATGGTAGAACAATAGGAATACACCACATGATATCTTAAAACAGCTAGGATAGAATAATGAGTGGAGATACATTACATGCTTTTGCTTGTAGTAGTCAAACCTCAATGAGAGGACACACCAACTAGAGAACACCTCTCTACAAAAGACATTTTTCATCACCAAAATTAACAATTTTACTAATTGCTAACTCTCTGGTAAGAGGACATCTCTCCCTAAAGGACACTTTCGCTATTTAACTAGATGTCATTTACAGGGAGGTAGTTTTACTATATGACCAAATACATGATCTTAAAGCAACAGTTTTCAATCCACACATCTGGTGTGTAAATCATCATCAATAATGGCAGCGGAGACTGACTCACCACATGTGTGTTACACCACATGATTGTAACAACAGCCTGGTAACAGCCATTTAATATGCAGCTCTGGTATGATAGCAATGCTACATTCTCTCTTCTTACTTCCTGATTGCCATCCGTAGTACAGTAGAACCTCTTTGAAAAGGACACCTAGTTGCAGAGCAAAATTGTCCTTTAAGGAAAGGTGTCCTCTTACCAGAGAGTTGCTAAATAGTAAAAATGGTAATTTTGGCAATGAAAAACTGTTCTTTATAGAGAGTTGTCCTCTAGCATGAGTGTCCTCTCATGGAGGTTCTACTGTACAGCTCTTTTTGGAATGACCTCCATCTTTGAGGAACTTTTTGGATATGAAAGATAGAATTAGTTGAAATTTTATGTTAACAGCATTTCACTACCACATCATTGCTTCCGTCCTCTGACTAGAGTAACTATTAAGACAAGTGTTCTGGGTGGCATCAAGTGAAATGTGGCTTACAGTTTGATGTCTACAGAATAAATTGGTGAGGAGCTTTTATAGAGATGGTCTACTGAAAATATATCCAATGTCCGAGAAATAGCATAGCTTCAGTTCAAAATAGTCTGATGGTGATGCAACCAAGAAGTTATGGAGATATTTGTCAGATTCTGACAAGCTCTACTGGAAGAATAGAGTTGTACAGTAGACCCTTATAGAAAGCTACCTCATATTTTCCAACAACCAACTTACACAGTGGGAAAATTAAAAAATTTGCAGTTGGATTTATAATGGAATTATAAATTAATTTTTTTATACAGTATATATATATATATTGCGTATGATATTGTTTTTTACAGCACAATACAACAATGTTGGCGAGTTTCTCTAGAGTGGAATGTCGAGGTGACGAATCCACTCCAGGGCCTCCTCTGTGCACCGGTGGATATCCCCAAGTGTTCCCTGGAAGAATCTTCGAGGACAGTCCCTTAGGATATGGTATTAGTGCTGTAAAGACCAGGATATCCTAAAGGATATTTGGTCATCAGTTGGTGATATCTGTCGATCAAAAGATCTAGCCCGAGGGCGCATGCCGGCCATCACCTTCCTCGGAAGAAGCCGCTCCTAACATGGAGGACAGACGCTTCACCTCCATGAGAGGACACTCCTGCTAGAGTACACCACTCTACAAAGGTCAGTTTCCATTGCCAAAATTACCATTTTTTACTAATTAACATCTCTCCGGTAAGAGGACACCATTTTGGATCTGCCATTAGGTGTTGTTTACATGGAGGTTCTACTGTCCTTTATTGTGACAGCAAGTTGCCCTTTTCAAAGAAACTTATTGCATCGGCCGGGAATCGAACCCGGGGCGCCCGCGTGGCAGGCGAGCATTCTACCACTGAACAAATGGCAGTGGCTGTCTCATTAAAACCACAAATGGCTTTGAGAAAATAAACAGAAGAAACCCAGATTTCTGCTCAGAACTTATAGCCATCTATGAAGCCTTAAAAAATCCATCATAAATACTAATTATCAAGATATCTGGATTCTTACTGATAGTAGAAGTGCCATACAATACTTGAGTCACACAGGGGAACTTAGAGTCAAAGTAAGCAGGAACATAATTGGTTATATAAAATGAAAGGATTAAAGCATGAATGTTTATTTTATACACAATACAAACTTCTATTGGTATCTCCAAAAACTCTCAAAACTTCATCTCCAAAATGGATACCCTCACACCTTGGCATTGAAGACAATGAAGTTGCTGATATGCTGGCAAAAAAGGCCAGGGGGGTCAGTGGAAGGCTGGTTAAACCGTTGGGTTTTCGCCCACTACGACCCGGGTCCGATTCCCGCATTGGACACTTTTTTTCTGTTTAAAAAAAAAAATGCTCCAATGGCCCCCGATTCTTGCAAAAGTCCAACCCCACCAGCGAGTGCAAGTAACCAAACGGGGCTCTGGCACATTTGTAAGTGCAAAGTCGAACTGTTTTTCACATGTGTAGACATGTGGTGCGCTTACAGTAAAAAGCAGTCGCTAACTATCCACCATGATTATCATGGCCTGTACCATGTGTACTAGGGATAAGTAAAAAAAAAAAGTTGCTGATGTACTGGCAAAAAAGGCACACGAGAACCCTTTCACAAAATAAAAAGACAGTAGCCAAATAAAAAATAAGCAAGAACTGGAGGATCCCACCTAAGCACAGCTGGTACAGTGAAGTGGACCCAGGAGGAGCTCTGAACATCAGAAATAGACAGCATCAAACAACACTAACAAGATTTAGAACAAGCCATCTCAAAAGCCATTGAAAGTAGAAAACAACAAAATCTACCCCACTTGCCCAAAATGTAGCTTGGTACCTGCAGCTCCAGAACACATTTTGGCTTGCATTAGATGCACTAAACAGGACAGTTGGGAGAGTCTGTTGCTTATCACCAAGCAGCTCGAAAAGCATGGACTCGTGGAATTTGCATAATCTTTGCACAATGGGAATAAGAAACAACAAAGTCAATGGAGGAGAGAGTTGTGAATTAGCAAGGATTACCATTCTTCTTAAGGGGACACTAATGACCACTCACAAAATATCTTTCTGCACTTGTACTGAATTATACTTCTATACTGTTTTTTTGTAGAAAACAAGGATACACTTGTTTTGTTTGTCTATATATAACAATACTACACACACTTATCTTTGAATAATATGCCTGAATTGTGTGTTTGTAGTAAACACACTAATATATTCTTCATTTGTAAAGTTTAATGAGACCAATGTACACAAACAACACTTAGAGGATCTATAAATGAAGTGGGGGAGGAGGGGCACAATATAAATCTGTAAATAAGAAAACTTGGAATTTATTGGGTCACATATCCTTTCAAGAAAAAGACAATAATAAATAATACAGGCTACACATATGATATAAATAGCTCTAAACTTAATGACTGTTCTGTGGAGCCTGATTCACATCAACAACAGGAATGTTGGCGGTGGCTGGCCTCCTGACAACACACACAACAGTTGTAGGTTAGGTTCTCTCATACAACCATGTTGTTGCTAAGGTCATTTTCTCTATAAGGTACAATTACAACAATAGGTCACTTGAAAAATATTTCCATTGTTTCATTAAAAACCAAGAATAAACCTTTAAGTGAGACTATACAAGCAGAATGAGAACAATACAATAGTTGTAGGGATCTGGTGGATTAAATTAGAGAAATCGCTGGGCAATCACTGATAAGCCAAGCCTTCCCAAAACTTCTTCAGTTCACCAAACATAGAAATTTTTTCTATACAAGGTAGGATCAAAAAGTTCCAGAATTTTTTTTTTTTTAATAATTATTCATTCATAGTATAGTAATTTAAACATTGAATTTTTCAAAATAGGAGCCTTGGTTATCTACACTTTTTTTCCAGTGTGAAAAAAGCTGTTGAAATGCTAGTTCAAAGTCAATTTTTCTAAGCTTGTTTAGCTACACCGTCGCATTTTCAATTACTTCTGATGACGATGAAAAGCATCTCCCTTTTAACATCATTTTAAGTTTTGGAAAGAAGAAGAAATCACATGGGGTGATATCAGGAGAGAAAGGAGGATGCGGCAAGACAGATACAGAGTGTTTGGCTAAATAGTCTTGAACAATAAGGCTCTATGAGCAGAGGCATTATCATGAAGCAATTTCCACTGTTTTGATTTAAAGAGTTGGTTTCTTTTTCTTCTTATCGCATCACGAAGGCGCACAAGTATTTCTTTGTATGCCTGTTTATTAATAGTAACCCCCTCTTTAATAAATTCATAATAGACAAGTCCTTGATAATCGAAAAACACTACAAGCATTACTTTTCCTTTGGACTTGTCAAGACGAACTTTCTTCTTCCTAGGAGAACTTGGTGTGTGCCATTCGAGTGATTGTTTTTTGGTTTGTGGATCAAAAAGAAAGCACCATGTTTCATCACCAGTTATTATTGTTTTTAAAAAATCAGAATCATTATTTGCAGTTTCAATTAAATCTTTGCAAATTGATAATCTGGTTTCTCTTTGTTGATCTGTTAAATTTTGTGGGACAAAATAACCACAAAGTTTTTTCATGTTTATTGGCTGGAAGGCTGGTTAAACCGTTTGGTTTTTGACCACTACGACCCGGGTTCGATTCCCGCATTAGACACTTTTTTCTGTTAAAAAAAATGCTCCAATGGCCCCCGATTCTTGCAAAAGTCCAACCCCACCAGCGAGTGCAAGTAACCAAACGGGGCTCTGGCACATTTGTAAGTGCAAAGTCGAACTGCTTTTTACATGTGTAGATATGTGGTGCGCTTACAGTAAAAAAAAAAAAATGTTCACCAATAATTTTTTGGCAACTACCATACAAAATTCCAAGTATTTCTGATATATTATCAATAGTAATTTTTCTATCAGCAACAATTAAATCACGTACCTGTCCAATATTGCGATCCGTTGTTGACATCAATGGCTGACCTGACCTTGAATCATCTGTGATGCCCTTACGGCCATCTTTAAAATGTTTATACCAGAAATAAACTTGCGTTCGTGACAATTTTTCATCTTCATAAGCTTCATTCATTAATGCTAATGTCCCTGTGAAAGACTTTTTTTAATTTTATGCAAAATTTAATATTTGTCCTTTGCTCAAATGATGACATTGCAGACACCGACACGAGCTAAATACTTACAACAAAAATATGTCTAAAATGAAAACTATGCATGCGCATTTACTGGCGTTGCTAAATTAAAAAATAGTTTAGGCTTTGTTCTTTACAGTAAAATTGATTTTACATCTTTCAAAAGTTTTTATATTTTATTTTTTAAAAGTTCGGGAACTTTTCGATCCTACCGTGTATATATATATATAATGATATACACTTGGTTCTTTTTTTATGCGGTAGATGCGTTCCAGGGGAATCCGCATAAAAAAAAATCGCACAAAAAAAGACATACATTTATATGTAAAATGATGGATACGTTCCATTTATTAAAAAAATCGCATAAAACCTAAATAATGTTTTAAAATGCACTAGAAATCGCATAAAAAAAGATGTATAAATAATAAGATTTAATTTTTTTCTCATCATATTTTAATAAATGGCACATATGTGTGTTAATAAAAACAAAACTTAATATGTAAAAAAAAAAACATAAACAAAACTTTATTTAAAATCATATTAAGAATGTTTTCATCATTATTCGCTGTCTGATAATGTGCGAACCCGTTTGAGGATTGGTGCAAGATCACTTTCATCACTTGAAGATAAAATTACGTCATCAGATCTACATGGTAATGCTTCTTTAGGAACTTCAGTGATTTTTTTTTCTTTGACAAGGTAGTCAGTAATCAAACGCTGTGATGGCTTGACTAGTTCTTTGTAGAGTTCTCTGTAGCCAGACATACAAAATTTCAGATCACGTTGGAATTTTAAGGCGCGTTCTACATCATTATCATTTTGAATAAAAAAATTTTCCAATTTACCGGAAAGTTGAAGGCCTTCCCGAAGTAATTTTTCGTCCAGTGGAGTAACATCTTCCAGTTCGCTATCTACTGTTTCGAAATCTTTAGTAGTATCTACCATACTTTCCAAAATATCATCATCATTTAGGGCTTCGTCCACAAGCAATTCTTCTATATCATGCTCGCCAAAATCATCAAAACCTTCCCCACCTATTTCCTTAGCAATTGAAATAATATCTGATGTTACTATTGTTGTTCTATTTGATTCATTTTTCTTTGATACGCATTCAGGCCAAGCAGCTTTCCAACATGCATTTAAAGTTTGTGATTTTATCTCGGCAATTGCTAACGCAACATGATCTACACAGTTCAAGATATTAAATTGTTTCCAAACTTCAGTAACTGTTATTGTATCGGATTCCAGTTTATCGAAAATGAATTGGAAAGTGAATTTTACATAATATTTTTTAAATGTTGAAATAATTCCCTGATCTAATGGTTGAATTAGGCTCGTTGTGTTTGGAGGGAAAAAAACTACCTTTATACTTGGATGTTCTAAGTTTGGATGACCTGGTGCATTGTCAAGAATTAATAAGATCTTAAATTCGAGACCCATCTCTTTCATATAATTTTCTACTTCGGGTATGAAGCATTTATTGAACCATTCAGTGAAAATAGCCGTTGTTACCCAGGCCTTCTTGTTTGCCATCCAATGTACGGGCAGTGTATTTAAGTCTTTTCCTTTTAATGCACGTGGTTTTAAAGATCGATTTACAAGCAGCGGTTTTAACATTCGATCGCCAGATGCATTGCTGCACAGCAATAAAGTAACTCGATCTTTAGCAGCTTTAAAACCACTGGCATTTTTTTCGGACTTTGCAATGTAAGTACGGGTTGGCATTTTTTTCCAAAACAATCCTGTTTCATCAGCATTGAAGATTTGATGGGCACAATATCCTCCATCTTTAATAATTTTAGCCAACTTTTCAGGATATTTTCTAGCAGCTTCTTCATCTGCAGAAGCCACCTCACCTTTTATTTTTAGATTATGAAAAGAATGTCTTTTTATAAAACCAGTTAACCACCCTGTGCTGGCAGAGAATTGTGGATTACTTTCACGTGAAGATGTAGATGGCTCTGATTCTTTTAACTCCTTGTAAAATTTAAGGGCTTTCATCTTGATTAAATGTCCATCTAACGGAATTCTTTTTTGAGTTAAATCTTCAATCCAAATTACGAGAGCCTTTTCTGTTTTTTTCTATTAAAATGCCTCTTGAATATGATGAAATTTTAGAACTCAAATTTGTACCAGATCTGACTGATCTTCTTATTGCCGCTTCATTTTTTTTTATTGCTCTTATAGTAGATTCGCCTAAATTATAACGTTTACCTATTGCTGTTGATCTTTCTCCTTTCGCCAAGCAATCGAGAATTATAATTTTGGTTTCTAGCGAAATTGCACTTCTTTTTTGTTTTTTATTATTGTCACACATTTTCTTTAAGAGGACTAAAAATTATAGAAAAAACTTAATGTACAATTACGCACTAAAATTATTCAAAAAAACTTACAATTCACTTGAGTAAATTTATCTTCCGGTTTTCGGTAGTGTAACGTCCTTGTATTTGTTGACGTTAATAAGCAAGAAGTACTTGGAAGTTTAAAAAGAAATACTTTATTTCTTTTAGGCCAACATCAGATATAGCATATTAATTATAAGACATATGTTTACATGTGGTAGATATTACAAACAGTCAAAAGGCAACTGCACAGAGTATCATCAGTGATAAATATGTGTTCACTGATAATTTACTATATAGGCATGCCAGCTGCCGTTACAGGTAGTATTCGATATTTTCGATATTTTCGAATTCGATATTCGAATAAATTTTTTTTTCTTGCACCGCATAACTCCAAAACCGCATAAAAAAAAACCGCATAAAAAGAGAACGAAGTGTATATACAGTAGAACCTCCCTGTAAAAGACACCTAATTTCAGAGCCAAAGTGTCCTTTAGGGAGAGGTGTCCTCTTACCGGAGAGTTGTTAAATAGTAAAAATGATATTTTTCAAATAAAAACTGTCCTTTATAGAAAGGTATCCTCTAGCGTGAGTGTCCTCTCATGAAGGTTCTACTGTATATACAAATTGCATTAAATAATCCCATCCCCAACCTATATAGATTGTGATCATTTTAATTCTTAAGAGAAGCTTCAAGTGAAGTTTGTTGATACGCATACATACAATAATGGCATTCTCTATGTTGATTTAAGGTTGATGTTTGGATTATGGAGTTGGCTGAATTAGATATTTTGGTGAGAGGGGTTGGAAAATGCTTGAATTAAAGAGTTTATAGAAATAAAATCACGAGACGGAGAGAAGAATTTCTTTCAATTATAAATGGCTGTACAACATTTCAAGCAAGATGCCCTTCTACGGGCACCATACTTCCATATATATATCTGTACATTGTACCTATAGAAGGGTGTTTTGTCCGAAAGCTTCAACAACAGTTTATAAATCAAAGAAACTCTCCCCGTCTTGTGAGCTTTCTTCTATTAATGAATAGAGAGATTATTATAGTCTTAAAGAGGTTACATTATACCCCAAATATCAGACAACTGGCTGAACAGAATGGAGAGGCCACAGCTGGAACACTAGAAAGGAAGAAGACCAACTGCTGAAAAGACTTTAATATCTCCAGCAACACGTCATGGTGTTGGGCATCCACCAACAAAGACTGATGGCAATGTTGATGTGATAAGACAGGCTGATAAACTTGATTTACCGCAGTGAGATAAATGCTTCTACCCTCAGTCTGACATAGTTGGCCCTCCACCCAACATGTTCCTATATATATTGTTGTGTAACCACGGCGCGACCCTGAACGCCGGACACATGGGCGCGACTAACACACGTCCGCTATCTTAACTAGCAAGGCTCACGATTTTGATTTTTTTTTTTATTTTAATTAAATTTTTTTGTTTTTAATTTTAATTAATTTTAAACTTTCTCTGTGAGTCATCGAACAACAGAGTTCGGCAAGAAATTGCACTTTGACCACGGACCAACTTTCTTGCTTGCTTTCTTTACTTTTTTTTTTTTTTTCTGACTTAGGCTCCATTTCTTTTTTTGGATGAACGGAAAATGAAGACGGCCCGACCCACACCGACCGACCCGAGTGCCAAGAAGCTACACACAAGATGCATCCCCTGACCAGCCCCAACCCTGGCACCAATAAAAAGTTACATCCCTTAGTACGGCCCTGTGACTTCCAGGCTCCCACACAACAATATACATGTCCACTATATCCCTATATCCCTAAGTCTGAGAATATTTTAATAAAGAAACTCCCCACCAGTGATCTATATGAGTGAGTGTGCGGTCAGAATATGCCTATTTGTTTCTCATCAGGATAATTTCAAAAATATGAATGACAATTGGCCAAGAAATATATTTTAAAAATCCTATATTAGTTCTCTCTCTTTCTAACAAGCCCCAGACTGTCCTCATCAGAATTATAAGAGGACACTCACGCTAGAGGATACCTTTCTATAAAGGACAGTTTTTATTTGAAAAATTACCATTTTTACTATTTAACAACTCTCCGGTAAGAGGACACCTCTCCCTAAAGGACACTTTGGCTCTGAAATTAGGTGTCCTTTACAGGGAGGTTCTACTGTATATATATATCTCTTTGGTCGTAGAGGTACAATCTACACCATGCTGTTGAGGGCCAGCAGCCCGAAATGCGTTTGTGGTTGACTTTTCTTGATTTAACAAGAAATTGTGTTGGCCAAATATCGCGGAACAAGTTAAATCAACGTTTAGTTGCTTTTTTTTTCACTAGATGGCGCTCTGTCATCTAAAATTCTCATGTGAGCGGTCAGAATAAGCCTTTTGTGTTTTTACTATAGCAAGTGTGTTGAATTAAAGGAATTCTACTGCAGCCTTTATATAAACAAGTTAAACAACTTGGCTATATTCGATAAAATAATCCCTTGTATCAATATTAAAGTGAAAACATCAGGCTTCTCTCCAGGGATATGCTTATTTTTAAAAATAAACTTTTCCCTGAAGGCGCCTGATGTTTTCACTTTAACAAAGTGGCTAAACACCACCATGTGTGTGTCAATAAACAGCTGGAGTCCAGGCTATACTCACCTCCTCTCACCACTCCCTCTTCATGATGGCCAGGGTGACATTGGAGAGCTGTGGGCCGAACAGTGGGTTCATCTGCATCATGTAGGCACAGAGCCAGCTGCCACAACAACATACACACTAATTTAACACAGCACACATAGACTAATATCAGACATGTTATAAGGCATTATCTACTTTCAGGGTTAAGTTTCTTGTTCAAATTTTTATTTTCAAGCTTTCGGAGTATCACGATAATAAATTGATGATATATACTATATAAATCAGGGATGAACGTTCATTTATTATCTACTTGATATATATATTTTAATTTTTTCTATTGTTTTTTCATATATATATTTATATAGATGGAAATTTTGCCGGGAGCATATTGACCTAAAAATATGGCGTCTAGCTTTGATGTCTATTGTGACAGGAGAGGCGACCTTTATCTTTTTATATATACAGTAATCCCTCGTTATCACGAACTCGGATTATACGAACTCTCGGTTTGCGCGAACCGTTCCTTTTCCCCCGTTAAATTTCAATGCTTTCCAAAGAGATTTTGCCGGTTAAGACGAAATATTCGGTTATGACGAAATACGAATTAAATTTAGCCCCCAGCAGAACTAATCAATCGGTTAAAACGAATTCTAATATGTTTTTAAAGGCGAGTTATAAGTAAAACAATAAACTATTAAAACAACAAAAACGCCGTTGATATCAAGTATTGGCTCTCTTTGTCTTTTGTGTAAACATTCGTCCTTTGTTTGTTATGATGACTCATTTTCTATGAAACCATCCCCTTGGGGTCGTTCCATGTACTCAATCAGTGGAAAATTTCGACTCTATTGTGCCAGTATTGCTGTTTTTCTCGACTGATAAATGTAGGGGCCATGGTGAACCCTGCCAGCCAGCAGCCGGTTACCAATTACGGTTACCGACTGGCTGACTAAGTTTGAAGAAATTAAAAATGAATACAAAGATGAGGACATTTTTAATATCTACGAGACAGGTGTTTTTTATAACTTACTTCCTGATCGCTCGTTGGACTTTAAAGGTACCAAGTGTCACGGAACTTCGAAAAGTAAAGAACGTTTAACGGTAGTTCTCTGCTGTAATGCTACGGGTTCAGAGATATCAAAACTTTGGATTATCGGAAAGTACAAAAACCCGAGATGTTTGAATAAAATTAATAGACTAATTTTACCTTTCGATTACACGCATCAAAAAGGTGCTTGGGTGGATGCATATTCATTCTGATTGTGGCTCATCAAGTTTCAACGTAAAATGGCAGCTGAAAATAGACATGTGCTTCTAACAATGGACAATTGCAGCGCACATGATACAAAAGACTTGGATCTGCCAAATGTCCGGATTGTATATTTCCGAGCAAACTGTACAAGCCGAATCCAACCACTTGACCAAGGGATAATAGCTGCGTTCAAGTGCCATTTTAAGTCAAGGCTCGTTAAAAATGCCTTACTTGGGATAGAATCCGAGCAAACAACAGTAAAATGGAATATTTTGCAGTCAATGCGTGCAATGGCTGCTTCATGGGACTCTGTATCTAGTCAAACAATCAAAAATTGCTTTAAAAAAGCTTGGCCAACTGTTGAAGGCAAAACAGCTGATTCGTTTTCACTTCCAGAAACAATGCTTGATGAGCCTGAAGAATGGACCAAACTCCTTTCAGCTACAAACCCAGCTGAGACTTTGACTTTCCTGGAGTATGTTGCCCTGGATGAAGGGTTGGAAATTTGCGGTTCACCCGAATTAGAAGAAAAGAAGAAAGAAGAAGAAGAAACAGAAGACGATGAGGTGAAAAAAGAGATAATGATGCCTACTAGAGGGGAAGTAATCGCGGCCCTCGAAACCCTCCAGAAGCTGTCCAAAACCTCTGCGGATATTGATGTTCATTTTGAAGATGACCTGGATAAAATAAGAAGGGAGTGTCCGAAACAGTGCCCAATCAAATACCACCAAAAAACTATAACAGACTTTCTGAAGCCTGCAGAGAAAACCCAGATATAGGATACTCTATGCATACTGCATATGCTGCATACACATAAACATTGTATGTACCAAGTATATTATGTAAGTTGTTTCTTTTGTTGTTCTTTTTTATTTGTGTTTTAAAATAAACTTATATTCTCATGTTATTGCCTTACATTGTGATTATATTATCCATATTGTCTTTTAAAATAAAACACTTTATGTACATACATATACTTAATTGTTGTTCCTTAAAATTATAAAATATTTTCATTAATATTGTTTTCAAATAAATTTATTCGTTATTCCTCAGAAATGTAGTTTTCTTACTCATCAGTAGTACATAAGTACAACCCCCGGATACCACGAATTCAATTCGTCTAATACGGATTCGGTTTATACGAATTCTTTTAAGACGAAAAGGGTATTTCGTTCTCCCGTTGAGTTCGTCTTAACGAGGGATTACTGTATTTATAATAGATTATAATATATATTACATATAATACATTTGTTATGAAAACCTACCTCAATAGTTTCACAAAACACCAATGGTAAAACTTCAAACGCTAACAATCATATAGGTGGAGTAGAAATAGGGAGGATAAACCAGAGTTATCACCAAACTACTTATTCCTTGCTAAAGGTGAAGACAGGGAACTGTAGGGGAAAACAATAAAAATACAGAATTTGGTCAATGGAACACTTCTCTACAAAACTTATCCAACCAGCAAATTACTTTAACAAGTTTTCAAAGAGGGAGATTGTAGAAATTTTATACATTTTTGTTAAATGACACAAAAATAATGCTCTTTACTGGTTCATTGGGGAAGCCTCCCAGACAGAACATAACATTTCAATAATTTCCACCATTAATCTCTTAAATTAATTAGTGTTTGTTGTCTTTGAAGGTTGCCAATTAAATTACTTGAATTCTAAATTTTTACTGCCCTTATTTTATTCCTTTAGGTATTTACAGTGTAACCTTATTATAACAGCCTATTTTATAACAGCAACTTGCTTAGACCATCACAATTCTAAGGTCTCAAGTTTAAAGTTCAAATTGTTTAACCATGGCTAAACCAACATTTTTTTTTTTGCTTATCCCTATTACACGTGGTACAGGCCATGATAATCATGGTGGGTAGTTAGCGACTGCTTTTCCTGTAAGCGCACCACATGTCTACACATGTGAAAAGCAGTTCGACTTTGCAATTACAAATGTGCCAGAGCCCTGTTTGGTTACTTGAACTCACTGGTGGGGTTGGACTTTTGCAAGAATCGGGGACCATTGGAGCATTTTTTTTTTTTTAAACAGAAAAAAGTGCCCAATGCGGGAATCGAACCCGGGTCATAGTGGTCGAAAACCAAACGGTTTAACCAGCCTTCCACCGACCCCCCCCTAAACCAACATGGTTATAATACCCCATAAACTATTGGTACCAGGTTGATGTTGTAATAGAAACTACTATAAACCTTGAACAAAAAGAGAGGGCGAAAGATAAGCTAGGAGTGTCAACATTGCCAAAGATTTAAAGTATCTGGTAATAAATGATGCTATATGGCACAGTTTACTTAGTTAAGATTATTTTCACAAAACACACACACATACACACTATTTTTTCACTTATTAAGAATAAAATAACAAAATATCCGTTATTTAAATAATTATTTTTGATATATTTTAAAAGTTGTGTGTAAAAGTCTCTCCTATTGCACACACAAAATAAGAGAAGTTGAATGGATATGTCTGTAGAGTTGAACCTCAATGAGAGGACACTCTGGCAAGAGGATAACTTCTCTACAAAGGAGTTTTCATCACTAAATTTACCATTTATACCTATTAGTAGAGGGAGTCAGTGGAAGGGTGGTCTAAACCATTGATTTTCGACTGCTACAACCCGGGATTGAATCCCGCACAGGAAATTTTTTCAAATAAAAAAATAAAATAAAAATGCTCCAATGGCCCCTGAATCTTGCAAAAGTCCAACCCCACCAGCGAATGTAGGTAACCAAATGGGGCTCTGGCACATTTGTAAGTGCAAAGTCAAATTGCTTTTCACTTGTGTAGACATGTGGTGCACTTACAGTAAAAGCAGTCGCTAACTACCCACCATGATTATCATGACATGTACCACGTGTAATAGGGATATAATTATAAAAATAACTTTTAGTAGCTCTCTGGTAGGAGGACATCTCTGAGATTAAGAGTCCTTTAGAGAGCAGTGTCCTCTTATAAGAGTTGCTAATTTGTAAACATGGTAATTTTGGTGATGAAAACTGTTCTCTAGGGAGAGTGTCCTCTAATGCAGGTTCTAGTGCATAGTGCATCTAGTGCAGGGTGAATTTTAAAATTACTAAAAGGAATAGAAAGGAAGATTGGGGGAATGGCTTGTGACCCATCAGTAGAGAGAACCTTTCCAGTGGCAGTTTAATCACCCAGACCACTTCAGCTCAATTGTGTATGGTTCATTCCAGTACAACTTTCATTCATTATAATATAGGGGGTACATTTGTTGTTGTTGTTGTTGTGTCCAATGAAGAGCCTCAGATGTCCCCATACATCTCTATTACAGCAGCAGCAATGTCCACTATCTTGGATGTGTAAAGCTGCTGCTCTGGGTCCATGTCAACTTTCTGCAAGGCTGCGGCCATTGCTGGGCATGAGAATATGTGGGTAGGTGTTAGTTCCACACCAGGACAGTTGTTGCATGTCCTGTAGGTTCTTGTGCCATCTGGATGTATTGTCATTCCTTTATAATGCTTTGTTCTACGTCTTGTTATAGTTTTTGTCATTTTTCATTTGAAACCCATGATTTACATTCTGTATTTGAAAGCTAGCACAGTAGATCCTCTCTGTAAAGGACACCTAGTTGCAGAGCCAAAATGTGTTAATTAGAGAAAGATGTCCTTACTAGAGAGTTGTTCTAATTAGTAAAAATTGTAATTTTGGCAAAGAAAACTACTTTGTAGAGAGGTGTCCTCTAGTAGGAGTGTCCTCTCATGGAGGTTCTAATGAAATTCAAAAAAATATATATTTTATAATTTTGTACACATTTGAAAATTTATTCTTGGTGTTAATTAACCAAACTACAAACACAAGGTAATAAGACCAAATCCAAATAAATAAACAGTGTGTAATGTTTTGGTAACAATGCTGTTACCAAAATGTAACACACTATTTATTTAGATTTGGTCTTATTACCTTGTGTTTATAATCCAAATTGTGCTTTATCATTAACCAAACTATAAAGATATTAACATTTTTAAATTATTAATTGTAGAAACTCCACACATTATCTTAAATAGCATCATGATTGGCATTTTAAATTCTAGTTTAAAATTGGTGGCCCAAGAATGATGTCCCCTGTATATTTACTGAGACCAAATTGTGGCACCCCAGATACAATGTCTGTCATTAGATGACAACACTGCTGACTCAGCCACACTGGAACAAAGGAGCTGCTCAACTTGCGCAAACACCTACACCAGGTACTTGAGTACTGTTAGATGGACGGCTGTAGCATGACATTAAGTAACATCTGTCTTTGCCGGTCCCAAACCTAGATGAAAAATGAAGGAGGGGGAGCAGTAACAATCTCGCTAAAAAACCTGGGCTCAGCTGGCCCAGATGATAGTACCCTGTAAGATCTCCTAATCCAGGGATACAGGATGAGCAGCATCTGTACTCCATGTTAGGAGCGGCTGCACATGGCCTCTGTTCCTCATGTCAGAGGCAGCCATTTCATATTAGAGCTAAGTCGGCCTGCTACTGTGTAGTGCTCCCAGTATTCTACTTTACCTGATCATTACAGATGTCAACTCTACAGGCTTGATACCCAAATTTGATTGAGTCTCCACTCAATAAGAAAGAAGAAGTAACATCATATAATTGGTGAAGGTAGAGGCCATGATAATCATGATGAGTAGTTACTTTCTGCTATTACTGTAAGTGCATACTACATGTCTTGACATGTAGATTTTAATATTTTCCAACTAAGGAATTTTCCCAAGATCAGAGGTTAAAATTAGTTTATTAAATGAAAAATATAATTTCTTGATTCAAGTGTCCCATATAGTCCAGTGGGCCTAGAAAACTGCTTGTGTTTAGACACCACAACATTGTAGGTAAAATCATTTGTATAAACAAAAAAAGTTTGGTTAATTTATTGTCTGAAATGGAAATGGTTTACATAGGAAAATGTTACTCTATATTTTTATTTTTAAAATAATAATAAACAAAAACCAGGCCCTACAATATCTTTCGTGTTTCAGTAGGGGCAGGAGAAAGTAGTTTTTAATTGAAAAAGCCAAAACCATTTAAATTTCAATTTTCATGTTAGATCCTCTTTGTGGTCAAATTTATTATTGTATTTGATTTGTTGTTGGATCAATATATTTGAATTCAAGATCACACACAATCACTAAAAAAAAAAAATGCATGTAAGTGGCAGAAAAATTTAATGCACTGTGGGAGGCAAGTGTTAAAATTTGTAAAGTTGTTATACCGAGTTATTTTTTCTAAGTATTTAATAGGTATACAGCCTTAATTTTCAAACATTACTATTTCAGAATGCCAATCCATATAGAGTTAATAACAAAAGGGATTATAAACACAAGGTAATAAGACCAAATTCAAATAAATAAATTGTGTGCGACGTTTCTGTAACAGCGTTGGTACCATCTTCAGACAAAAGTACTGAATATACATTTATCAAAATTAATACATCAAAAGCATTGGTACCAATGCTGCTGGTGAAACGTCGCACATAATTTAATTGGATTTGGTTTTATTACCTTGTGTTTATAATCTATAATCCAAATTGTGTCTTATCAACAAAGGGATTGTAAAAAATATAGGTTGCCCTGTATTATAATAAATTATGTTAGGATGATATTTTGAGAATGACTGAATACTTTTACAATACTGCAGTACATGTGTGAAACGGCCAAATTAACACTCCCTAATACACATTTGATGGTAAAAAAATAATCAGTATAAATTAAGCAGACCTGGACAGTCAAAGATAGACAAGCTAGATATGTGGAAGATTGTCATTTAAAAGTATCAATATGTCATGGTAAAAAAAAAACATTTTCTAATATTTACAACCAAATCACTGAATGTAGAAGCATTAAAAGTATCAATTCAATAAAATAACCCCCTGTATCAATCTATATATATATAAAAATGAATGTCTGTCTGTGTGTGTGTACTCTATAGATTCAAAAACCGTACATCCAATCGCCGTGAAATTTTGGGATATTATTAGGCATATCCCTGGAAAGGTTTTTGAAAAATAATATCTTGAATATCTTTAATATCCTTAGAGTTATTTGCAGATTTGTAGCTTTAACTCGCAAGCAGCGCCATCTTGCGACGGAGATAGGCGTAGGTCTGCCCCACCCCGTCGAGAGAATGGATTCGTCCGGCCGCCGGCCGGATGGACAGTTCAAGTACCCACCGACCAATCAGGGCAGAGTTGGTGACACAGCTGTGCCAAGTAGACAAGAAAAAAAGCCTCGCGGGAGCTTGCCCAAGATGACCTCCGGGAACTTCGTCCATCTTCCATAAACGACCATGAATTTATTCAACCTTATCGAGTATTTTTCAAGGGACCGGGAAAAAATGTTCACTAGATAAAACGATGATTTTGTAATGTAGAAAATTAGGAAAGACAAAATTCAGAATGACACGGCACACAGGGACCGGGAAAAAATGATCACTTTATCGAGAGATTCAAATTTACGAGTTTCAAATTATCAAAATATATTTCTTTTTATAAGTTTATAGAGAATTGTTTTAACAAATGTTCGTTAGACAAACCTTTACTCGGGTACCGATTAATATTGATTTTATTCAACTTATCGAGTATTTTTCAAGGGACCGGGAAAAAATGTTCACTTTATCGAGAGATTCGTTAGACAAACCTTTACTCGGGTAAAACACGGGCGAAGCCGGGTACATCCGCTAGTATTGAATAAAAAGATATCAGGCCCTAGGGAAAAATATCTTTTCACTCTTTTTTTATTTATAATTTTTTTTTAGTTTTCAGGTGCGAACGCCCTCCTACAGGAGAACACCTGGTATAATAATTCGTCAATAGAACACACGAGTTGAAATAGAATACTATTTTACATAATTTGATAAAAATACTGTAGATATATAATGCTGAAAAGATACTTTTCCCTGGAGGCCTGATATTTTTACTCAACATTAAACTCCGCCGGTCCCAAGCCCGGATGAAAAAGGAGGAGGGGGAGCAATAATAAGCTCACTAAAAAACCTGGGTTCAGCTGGCCCGGCTGATAGTACCCTGTAAGGGCTCCTAATCCAGGGATACAGGATGAGCAGCATTTGTACTCCATGTTAGGAGCGGCTGCACATGGCGTCTGTTCCTCATGTCAGAGGCGGCC